TCCGCCTGCCCAGGCCCCCTTCCCGCCCCGTTACATCCCTCCGCCGTTACCGCAAACCGGATCCATGGAAAGCCCAGACGCAGCGTACCAGTTGACACCCACAGACGTCCGCCTCCTCGAACGCTTCCAGAAGAGGACGGTCCTAAGCCTCGGTTCACCAAAGAGTAGAACAATCTACGAGAAAAAGACCCTCCCCATTGCATTCTGCGTAAGCCCCCGAACCCCCCCTTCCACCAAACATCCCTCCCTGTAAGGAGTGCATCTCCAGACTAACAAACCCTCAAGCACCCCGTGGTAATGCACACGGTAATAGCAATGACCCACCTCCACGACCTAACTCTCCTCCCCGCCTCAAACACCCCGCCCTCCCAGACAACCCAAACAGCCTTAGCCTACCACTGGTACCGCGGCGTCTCCCTCCTCCACCGCAAGCTCTCCAACCCAATACTCCCCAGCGAGCGCGACGCCCTCTGGCTCGCCGCCGCCTTCATCAGCGTCGCCGCCTTTGCGAATGTCGCCTCCCTCGCCGCGCCCCGCGACGCCTGGCCGCTGAGGCAGGGGTGCCCCTCGGACCTGGACTGGCTGAAGCTGGGCGACGGGAAGAAGCAGGTGTGGAAGATGACGTATACGCTGCGCGCGCCGAGGGGCGTGTTTGCGGATGCGGCGAGGGAGTTGTATGCTCACTTGATGAAGCCCGTCGAGGCGCCGTGTTGTACCACCATCGATGATGGACCCGAGGATACAGGAAAACCGATGGATGCATGGAGCCCACCCCTCCCGGAAGGCTTCGCAAACCTCTTCGACCTCATCCAGGACCCAACCCACGCGAACCCGTACTTCACGGCCGCCGCATCCCTCGCCGCGTGCTGGCGCATGCCCCCCGCGGTGATAGCGGACCCGGACTCAATCGAGCTGATCAAGCCCTTCATGGGCTTCATCAGCAAGCTGGACCCGCGGTTCCGGCGGCTGCTCGAGGAGAAGGACGAACGGGCGATGCTGCTGCTGGCGTATTGGTTCGCGCGGGTGTGTGATCGGAAGCACTGGTGGATGTGGAGGCGGGCCGTGCTGGAGACGAGGGCGATTTGCGAGTACTTGGAGGCGAGGTGGCAGGGGAGGTGGGAGGTGAGGCTTGTCGCGTTTCCGAGGATGATGGCGGATCAGTGCGGCTTGTTGTGATGTCCTTCAAGTTGGTGGAGGATCTTAGAGTTATGAGTTTGAGACGAGTGAGAATGGTCATTTCACTCGGGTGAAACTTGGAAACACTGAGCGATGAGATTAGGAGGGAAGATAAATGCAGACACGATTGAATGAATGTATAAGACACGTAAATCCGTGCCTCCTGAGAAGGTTACATCTTGGTATCGCTCGAAACCCAATGCTAGTTGACTACAGAAATCAAATCACCGCTCAACGCCAAACTATACAAACGTCAAGTGCAGATTCCTTACGCTCCAACCTTGACTTCCTGACTGTTGGCAGCCTTCTCGCCATTCTCCTCATCCTTAGCTTTCGCTGCGCCATCTTCGCCCGCCACAGAGTCGCCGTGCGGGTATAGCGGCTTGCTGGGGTCGTAGCCAACCGATTTGACTATCCCCAGACCTTTGGTCCTGCCCTCTCGGAACAACAACCGGTCACCAGGGGCGAGATACTCGGGACGCTGGACGAACCGGAACGCCACTGTTGCTCTGTCGCCAGTCCGAATGTATGGACGGTCAACATCGATTATCGCACACGTCTGCGAGACTGGTCCGACATGGAGCATGGCCTGGTACTTTGTCTTGATGGTGGTCGCATGAGAGAGAATCAAGACTAGACACATATCAGCTTGACCGTTGAATTGAATACCTGTTCGATATGACTCACCTTCTGCTATAAATTCTCTGTGAACCTTGGGAGCTGGCTGTCCCTCGAGCTTGGGCAGGACAACCATGCCTTTCCTGACATCCTTACGCCGGACTTTCTTCAAGGCGAAGGACGCCGACTGCCCCGCAGAAGCAGCCGGCACCCCCAATCGCTTGCGTTCGATGGAACGAATGCTGGTAGACGTGAACTGGCCCAAAGAGTCAGGACCGATGAGCACGTTGTCACCGGCGTGGATTACACCGGCCTTGATAATTCCGGAGACAACTGTGCCGACGAAGGGAACCGAAAACGTGTCGTTGATGTGGAATTCAAAGGGCGCCTCGGAATCGTAGCGCCCGTGATGCGGCAAGATGTTCAGGAATGTCCGGACCAAGTCGAGGTTCTCGCCGGTGACATTGGAAACCTGGAAGACGGGGCATATCCTCTGACTGATGAACTGAGTGGCCGTGTTTATGCACTCCTCACGGTCTTTGATAAAGATGGGAATCTTTCGCGCTCCCGGACTCTTCAGGATCTTTGTGATCTGGCTGATGGTCTGCTCGAGAATCTGGGGCGGGCAGATGTCAATCTTGGTAATGACGACCATCACCGGTACGTTGAGGGCCAGGGCAATGCCCAAGTGCTCTTTGCTCATGCCAATCAGGCCGTTGTTGGCCGCGACCATCAGCAAGCAGTAGTTAGGGCTACTCGACAGCAGACCAAAAACGGTCGTTCGCAGGTACTTTTCGTGACCTGCCAGGTCAGTAAAGGTAATGACCTTGGCGCTGCGTTTCCCAATCTCTTCCCACGAAAGTTTTCCTGGTGATCGTTAGTGAGTCATTCTGACGACGGAAGCCGAAGCGGTGCCTACTCCCAGGAGTGTCAGAGACTACGACATCTCCAACAGTGTCGAAGCCTAGGATCTCCATGCCGACGGAACTGGTTCTGCCCGTCTCAATCTCATGCTTGTGGCGGAATAGGTTCACTCGTGCGCGCCCTCTGCCATCGTCGAGGTCTCCCTTGACCAGGACTCCCAGAAGGGAACTCTTTCCAGCGTCGACTGTGATATATGGATTAGTGACCATACTTATACTGCGGAAAGACCAGCTCGCGTGGCAAGCGCATTGCTGGCAGACGCAGAAGGCACATACCGTTGCCAACCACAGCTATTCGGGTCTCAATGACATCCTCTACTGTTGCCGGCGTCTGGCGAATCATGATCTTGCCACTGCAATGGCTGTCTTTGCCAGCCTGAGCGCTCGGGGCCTCAACATCGCCACCGACGTTCTTGGTGATGAGCGTCTGGCAGTCGGCTCGTATCTTTTTGGCCGCCTCCTTCAACCTAGTGTATGCCGCGTTCCATTGCTCTATTGACAATGCCATCGACTCGCCATTGTTCTCGAACCCGAGCTCGAACACGGCCTCCCCATGACCCTCGGCTATCCTTTCTTGGAGCACTGCCTCCAATTTCTGAAGTGTGTCGTCATCGGTGCCCAGCAAGAGGTCTTTCAACCGGGCGCTAGGGGTAGGCTCGGCCAGATCGAGGTTGTCAAAGAGCTCATCGAGTTCGGCATGCTGATGTTCGGGGACTTCAGTAATCTTGGAAGTGTCGGTCGATTTTGCGCTTGGGTATCGTAACGCCTGCTGCTTCTCGACGTACTCTGCAAAGTCGCTGAGAGCCTAGATGGAAGTGGTCAGCGACGATCGGGCGAAGAGGCATTCGAACTCTGTGGGGTCTCCATACAGCTTCACCCTTACGCTTCTCGTGCGGTAACGACTTTATGTTCTTGCTCGTCATGGTGGGGTGATGGGAGCAGTTATATTCGTATCCTAAGGATCATTGATACGTGTCAAAAGCAGTACAATGGGGGCTTGTAGAAGATATCTGATGGAATTGATCGATGAAGTGCAATGTAGCGTGTTAAGGCTATATAGAGGAGGGGGCGAATTTTAGTTCCGACAAAGTTGGCGTCGCGACGGGACAGTGAAAGGAGTCATCGATTGACTCGGAGCGGCGAAGTCTAACGGCAGGCAGTGCCGCAGTGACAGTCGAGGCCACTTTCACCTCCACACCACGCCCGGGTGACAGAATGCCCCGCTGCTTTACTTTTGGGCCGCTTATTCTGGGGCCATTTATTCCCTGCCGGTTTCTTGAAATGTATCTATGCTATACCTATGCAACAGCCCTCACAACCAGTGCCCATCATACGAGGATCCCGAACTAGGAAAAGTTCTGCCCTGCTGAGAGAATTGAGCTGAACCACTTAGTTTGGCCTCACCCAGAATACGGTATCGTACCCAGATTCTTGCAGATACATGGAGCATTACGGCATGAAGACGAGGTTGGAATTCAGAGATGGGCGAGTCTAAAGCAGCGTTGACATCATGAGTAACTCGGCGGGGCTTATCGATAAGAGCTTTTGCACGGGCCAGTATCAACGCTGTGGTGACGCCTGGATGGTGCTGGATTTACCTAAGGCGATTGCAGAATGCGGAGCCCCGGATTGTGTCTTGACTGAAGTATCCGTAAGGCAATCACAGAATGGCTGGTCTATCGTTCTTCAGCCATGGTGACCCGCATGGCTGGATTTACTCACCACAAAGGTCGCGGCAAACGGAAGTGGAAGTTTGTGTGACTCAGGCACTCAATTGCTGGCTTGTGAGTTGATCTGCGGCTGTACCCTGTTTGCTGCGCCTCTTGCCTGACCTGATCAACTGCTGCCAACCAGAGCAAGAAAGAGTCATCGAATTGTTCAGAATAGCACATCTAGGGTTTTCGAAAACTCAATTGAATTCGATAGAAAAACGTAAAGCAGGGTGCGCGAAAGTGTGCTCCATTGCTAGGAATGTCTATTTGAACTGCAAACGACGAGATTGAGTGTATGGTCATGATTAGCAAATCTGCCCAGCTATTCCTCAGCCATCATTCCGAAGAAGCGGAGTGCTCCTGGCTGCACCATCGTACCAATACGCAATTCGTCCCAGGCTGTAGTGGCATGAATTCTGCAACAGGCCCAGAGGTGCTAGCGTGGTCTCGGGATGAGGGTATATGTAGAGAGACCGTAGTGATAATATTCGTATGAAGAGTCACATCTTTTCCTCTCCGGTATCGCGACAAGAGACGTCAAAACGCGTTGTGAGCGGTGAGATGTTGTTGTCGGCTCGGGTGTACTCGGTGTTGACTCAAACCCAAAGCCCCTTCGCGGCGATGGTTGATACATGATCCCCCCGTGGTTATGAGGACGTTTGAGGCGAGATGAGAACCACGCTGTCACCTGGGAACTTATTAGACTTTGAACTAGTATCTAAGATGTGCTGCAACTTACCACGAACGAAGAGCATCTCCGACTTTCTGCTGATGGTCTGCGGTATGCTGTCAGCACTTGGTGAGACTTCGTGCTCATCCAGCCTTCTCACCTTCACTTCCTCATCTTCTTCATCCTCATCAACTACATAGATGGTCTCCTCAACCTCTCCCAGAACAAGGTTACAATGGCTGTCGTACGCCTATGATACGAATTAGTATGTCTCATTCAGCTCCGGAAAACGCATCCCAACTCACATGAAGTCTGCCCTTGAGCTCACGGTCACCTCTAAGCTTGACGAAAACCACTTCGTCGAGCAGAAGCTTGACGAGGTCAAGAGGCTCCTGGACGTGCGTGGTGTCTTCGCCAGCGTCCGCCATGGTGATTTAAGGATTGAAATTCGGGTCGAGGTGAAGGGAGAAGGGGGGCTCTGTGATGAGATGGATGGGCACGATTCCTTGATATGAAGACACAGCGATTCAACTGGGATGGCCGAAAGGCGATGGGTGGGGCCGGGCACAGGAGGAATTGTGCATTTTGCGCGCGCAAAGCTCAGCTGAACGTCATTGGTCAAGAGCCCCCGGAAGCGGCAGAGAGATAGTCCGGCTGCTCAGCCCACAATGAGATTGAACCGTGCCACGGCACACCGGAAGGTGGGCCAGGGATGGGTCTTGCCCCAGGTCTGCGTGGAGCTTCCCGTCCCTTGTCCGGGATGGCACGGTTAGAGGGGAAGGGAGCAGGGCACTAAAGCAGGCACTTGCAGCACTTCTGTTGTAACTCTGAGCGGGCAAACAGGCACTGGTAAGCCAAAAGACAAGGAGGATGGCCGATGGACGAGGAGGAGGCGGCAGCAAGCAACGGCGACGGCGGCAGCGGGAGAAGCAAAGTTGGGGAAGCTGGGCTGTTGGGGAAAACGCCTAGACCTGCGTAAGCTGTGCTTGGGGAAGCTGTGCCTTCCTCCATGGCTTGCCGATGTGGTACGGTACGTCCCCCTTCGCAGTGAGGGGACAGCTTTGTGCTTGTCCTTTTCACTCAACATCTCCCCTCACGCAAGCAAAACGGTCGTCCAGCCACATCTTTGAAGAAACACAACTTCCGCTTGGCCGTGCCATTGGCTTCGAAACACAAGACATGATTCGATACAGACCTCGCAGCCTTCCATCATGATACCAGCTATAGAGGCCAATGGCCTTCGACAGCTGCTACGGCATCAGTGTCCCCCTCGTGGCACGCCCTCGAAAATCTTGGCTGCCCGATTACGAAAATGGTACGGGCATCTGCCCCCTTTTCCCATAACAACAGCTTCCGCAAAAATCTTGATTCCACGAAACGGGCTGGACCTATCAACGAGATGTATGTCTCAGTCGCATAAGCTCAGCTTCGACACCTCGGCCCCTGCGATCGAGTCGCCCTCAAATCATCAATCTGCCGACGCACATCTCGCGGATTTGCTACGCGCGGTTCAATCGCAGGATACAACCCAAATCGTGAAGAGTGTCAAAGGCCTAGCACGTCACCCACGGGCCATTGAGGCGGCAGACGCGTTGCAAAGGCTATCGCCGACTACATTTTCGGAAATCGTGCGCTCCCTAGACCCCTCTCGCGTCGGCCCTCGCAGCAATGCGACTCACGGTCTGCGTATCGAGAATGGACTTGGCCAGTACAGCTCTCTTGCCTCTGTCGCCGATCGGTTTGGTATTCCCAAAATCTACAAAAGCACCTTTCAGTCATTGCGTACGCTATTCGGTCTACGATCCTACCACGGCAACGAGCCTTCTCGACTCGACTATGTCGTTCTCTTAAGATGCGCCGGTGCCGCATCCGATGTCCAGGCTGCCAAGGAAATTTGGGATGTGACGAAGGGGGAGGAAGATAGCCACCATAGGAATGGCCAGGACTATACCGAATACTTCAAGGCTCGATTTCTCACAGACCCAGCCTACTCGCACAACGATAAGGCTAGGCTGCGAGTGCGACCCCGTGATTTACATGGCCGTAGGAAGAACATCAAAGACACCCGGATCTTGTGGCCCCTCGAGAGACTGAGGCTTAGCCTTGTTGCCAACAGGAGGTTCACCTACGGCCGTGCTAGTTGGGAACCGACTCACGACTTACATCGCCTCCTTAGCTTGCCCGCCCCTGTCGGACGACTGAATGCATTCATCCGCAAAAAGCACAAAGTGGTGGACGAAGAGTTCTACTGCGCGTACCTAGTAGCCTGCGCACGCGCTGGCTCAGTCAGGGAGATGACTCGGATTCTTTATAAAGTATGGGGCATCCTCATCACCGACAGAGATCATCGAGCAGCAACAATCGTCAGGGCCGACAGAGCGGACAGCATTAGGCGAACACCGAAGCCAACACAGCCTTTGATCAACGCCATCGTGCAGTCTTTCGGTTGCACTGGTCATGTCATTCTAGCCAAAAAGCTGATCGAGTATATCTCTGCAGAATGGGGCATCTCCATACCGCCAGATACCTGGTCATCGCTCCTGGAGTGGACCTATTTAATATCTTCCAGGCCGGTCACCCAAGAGTATAAGACTATTGGCGACAAGAACAGGATCGTTCGGTCCAACGACGTGTTAGCTGTATGGGATGCCATGACGGCCAATCCCCGCCTGGGAAAGCCTGGCTTCCGTGACCTTGACATTTACACTAGGTCGCTGGTTGCTTCTGGTAAGCTGGATGAGGCTTGGGACTCCATCAGAGGTACTTGCGCCGAGTACGACTCACTATGCAAGGATGTCGAGGCAGCTCTGTTTGAAACCCTTTTTCCGTCGCCGCCGCCAGCTTCTATTTCTCGTCACTGTCGACTAAAAGCACAGCAACAAATGTCATGGTACTCCATCCAACGCTCGTGCCAGCAATGGCTGCGAGAGGCCAGCGTACGCTTACGCCGCGAACCCGCGCTGGGATCCCAGATCATTCCTGACTTTGTCAATGATTTTCGCCGTTTCCTCCCTGATCCAATAACGTACTCGACGTATGGAGGGACTGTCAGGATCCTGAACCAAGACATCGTCGCCCCCAAAACCAAATGGGTGAAGCAGATTGTCCGCTCCGAGCCAACCCGAAGACTTGCTCCCGATCCAAGCCGGCCAAAGGTTTCTAAACCAGATGGCGCTGGGGAGGATGTGGAAGCTGTACCCATTGTCACCGAGGCGGGCGACACAGTGTATGAGAGCATGGCGATCACCCTCAGACGATCAACCCGAAGAATGGTCCGCCAACGAAGGGATGTCAGGTTTGGAAAGCAAGAGAATCGTCTACGATTTGAGCTTAGCAAGGCGGCCAGCCAGGGGGCTGTGAATGGAGGAGAGGCGATCAGCACGGTTGAGGCTCTGAATTCGCAACGGGTACCACAGACCGGTCCCCTGTTTCGAAAGGAGGTCTTGAAGGCCTTGGTGTGGTAGATGGTAGAAGGCTGTATATTGTGTCGAGGGGAATCTGCCAGACATGTGGAGAGGAGGCCCGTGTTTGTCAGAAGTACTCTGGTACATAACCGAATCAATTGGAATACGCAATGTCATGGAAAGACTCGTATGTAGCCCCGATGTTCTGATGTGATGTTACTGCATACAATATATCTATCAATTGGGTCCTGATGAAAAGTTGGAGATGTACTCTGTTCCCATCCTCTGGTGTACCTTTATATTCATTCTGTAACTGCAACGCTGATGATTTTGTACCCCTGGTGATATATGTTGGTATCTACCCAAAACACGTAGAGTCCATGCAAAAACGCCTGCTCATGATGAAAAGGGGGTGGTGGATGGGGGAGTATGAGATGCTAGGTAGGATATGCCTTTTTTGGTTTTTCAATCCATGCTTTACCATCAACTTCTCTTTCTTCCTCCTCTTTTTGTTTTCACTCTCGGGACCAAGGTATCTTATACTTTTGCGCGGCTTACTTACGCCTTGGTCTCCTCTTCGGCCTCGACCTTTTCCAGCCGCAAGTCGTTGAGGACCATGTACCTGCTCAATGAGATCCACCCATAGCGGAACCAGACCATCTGACTCTTGTGCGCCGTGGTCATTGCGCTCCACGCCGTGGCCCAACCGCCCTTTGCGCCTAGCTCGCTGAGGAAGACGAGCGCCGTGGGGTGGTAGTTGTCGTCTTCCTCGTCCTCGTCGTCGCTGTCCTCCTCCTCCTTCTTTGGCTTCTTGGGTGGTTTCGGGGGGTTGCTTCCGGCCGTGGTGGCCCAAGAGAAGAGCGTGGGGATGGCGTCGAGGAAGTTGGTGTACTTGCGCGCAAAGGGGACCGAGGTCAAGGTATAGAGGTCAACGGGGGAGGGCCAGCGCGGGTTGGTGGACAGGGCGGCGATGAAGGCGCGGGCGCCGTGGTATAGGGAGATGTGGTTTGGGTGGGAAGAGACGCCGGTCGAGTCAAAGGTGATGAGGACGTCAATGTTGGCGTCGGGTTCCTCGCCGGCAGCTCGCTGACGGGCGAGCTGCGGTGCGAAAGCGCGGCCGAGGAGGTTCGAGATCTTGGTCTTGTCCCAGACGTTGGTCATGGAGTCTTGAAAGTCGCTGGAGGTCCCGGGAGGCGGTCAGATTAGCTCGTCCAGGGTCTGGAGTGGAGTTGAGGGGCGGTGGGTTAGGAGGGGGGATTGCTCACGGGCTGTCAATGACGAAGACGTCGTGCTCCTGCTGCAGACCGAGCTTCATGCCGCTCTTGATCAGCTCCTTCTTGCGAGTCTCGCCCAAGCCGTCGGCGTTGCCTATACAGTTGCCCCTCTTGTCAGCCATGGCGTCGTTTTGCCCCTGCAGCAGTATCCCCAAGAAGCTTGCTGACCTGAACTCAAACACAGAATCTTGACGTGATTGCCTGTATCCGGTTTGGTGAGGGCCAACACCGTTGGCGCAAAGAACATGGCCTCATCATCCGGGTGTGCAATCAAGAGACAGATGCGTTTGTTCTCCAGGGTTGGAAGTTTCGGCGTGATCAGCGGGACCAGGTATATATACAATGCAGGCGCAACAGCCACCAGCAAGGCGCCGAGGAGCATTATCCAGCCCATTATCAACTACAATTGTCGCGAACTCCAACACCGGGCAGCTCTGGTATGCGATCTCGTTTCGTCGGTGAGGAGGTTTCGAGTTCCCCAAGGTGGGGTCGTTTTCGGGAGGAGTATTTCGAGGATGCGGTGTGGCGTGTGTCGGCGAGTCGCAGCCTCGCGCAGAAGGGTTGACGGGTTCGGAGAGGTCGCAAAAAGTGTATGGTGAGGAGGAAGAGTTCCCAAAGGAACCTAAGAGAGTCGCAAAGCAGCACTGGATGGACGATGGAGGTCACGAGGCTAGCAGCATCGCGCGGGTAAGAAGAGCAGAAGCGTGAGATGCCACCTTGCGATTTGGGGGGCCCTGGTCTAATCTCGGAGGAGCTTCTTAGCGACAACGGGTGGTGGTGGTGGCTGTCAATGGTGGTGTGGGTGGTCGCAAATAGCGGGAGACGATCGGCTGGGAAATTGGATGAGCTGGGGCCCGGACGATTCGGTGCCTCGCTCACGCTGCCTCCCGTCACCACCTCAGTTCGGTCATTCTGTCGCAACTGGCGCGCCATCTGCGCCGTCGGTCGGTGTGTGGTCGCACCCGTTCCCTTCCCGAAAATGCAGGCGGTGACAGATCCTCGCGGAACGGGGTCCTGACAACACTAAATCCGCCCTGAGGGGCGAGCGACGCCTGGCAATTGGCCGTCCGGAGCAGTGTGTCATGCGACAGGGCAGGGCCGCATGGGTTCGTTTGGTTACTGGACCGATGGCCTGCAGCAGGGGCCAGGGAGCTCCTCTACCTTTATTTTTTTTTTCCAGGTGCAGGCCTTCCTTGACAGCTGGTGAGCTCCAGCTGGGAGCTGACGGCGGGACAAGGAACCGCCAAACTGTAAACAGTGTCTTTGTCAGCCAAACCAGCTCAGCACGCGAACAGACGAACAACATCCGACGACAACAGACCTTGCAGCTGTCACTTAAGCTGCATCTCACAGACGGAGAGATCTCTGTATTGGCATCGCCGAGGCTCGAGGTGTCCCTGAGCGGATTGGCGAAGGACGGCGAGGCGAAGTCTCAACCACCGGCTCATCCAGTTTTCACTCACAATCCCAAATATGGCCAAAAAGGGGACCAAGGAAAAGAGGGTGAAGGATCCTAAAGGCATCCCCCTTGCCCAGCCTGATCGGTCGGCTCCCAGCGAGGCCACTTTGCTGCAGATGGCCCAGGACCGAGGTCTTTTCAAGCAGGCCGACAAAGACCCGCGGAATAAGAATTTGCCCAAGGGTGCCGTCCGAATCGACAGGCCGGAGGCCGGGGACAGTGACGATGATGAGGGAGACGACGAAGAGGCCTTGTTGTCTCCCTTGATGGATCGCATCATGGACACATTGCTGTGGACTGTAAGTCTCGCCATGGTACACGGCACTCTTGACGTACTCGTCCAGAACCAGTATGCCAAGGAGATCGAATGGCCCAATGTCTTCAGCCGTACTCTCATTGCGTTAATAGGTGAGTTTCAAGTCAGCCCTCCATTCTGCTCCTTTGCTGATAACGGCGGTGGCCGGTAGTCCTCTCCTTCCTTTTCTATAATCTCCATGCTTTCCCATCCAGCCCAAACCTTGTTCCGGGATTGCCGGCTCGTTACCAGCATCCCATTCGACAGGCCATCTTCTTCGTGGCTGGAGTGTGGGCTGGGTGCCATTTGATTTACATTACCAACAAGTTCAGTTATCTGTACATCATGAAGCAGGCCCCGACTCTGGGATGTGTATGGATTTGGTCGGTCTTGGAGCTTGACCTCCCCGTGGCGGTGGCTAGCCTGGCAGTGGCAGGTGCTTATTTGCTGCAAGGAGGGTACGCCATCAAATAGGTGGTTCACGACTCGTTATTTGGACCTCGATCGCTTGGTGGACTGCGAACTGGCCCGCCGGTGGTGCCCTCGACTCGTCGACTCGCTTGGAAGCTGTTGCGAGGGACTGAATAATCGGCGCGACCTGACTGGATCGGCCAATGGTAAATCTGGACCGTGGCTGAGGTGACTCCGATGCATCAGACGATAGACGAGGTCCTCCAGCCGATGTATCTGAGCTCTTTGCTCAGAAATCTGATTCTCCATACGAATAAAGCTCTCTTCGGACTTGGCTTCCGTCCACGTGGTCCTTGATTCCAAATCTCGAATTCGACTGCGACAAGTTATCAGTAATAGCGACCAACAACTTGTTAGCAAAAAGCATCTTACGAAGATATCATGCTCATTTGCGTGAACTGCACTCTTGCGGTCAACGCTTCTCTCTGGCGAACCAGCTCTAACGTCTTGGTCCGGACCGGCAGCCAAGCCATGGCGACATTGGTCGTGAAGCTCCAGCTCTTGGGCACGAGGGTCCATTTACCCTGATTTTCGGCGTCGTGGCCCGCAGCCTTGGTCTCGGCCTCGGCCAGCAGTTCCAGGATCCGTTTCTCCAGCTTAATCAAGTCGTCCATCACGAAGGCGTACATCTGATATTCAGGTTGGCGAGAATGGGGGCCGCCTGATCTTTCACCGGCTGTACGAACAAGGTCTGATAGCCACGTTGATTCTGTTTTGAACCATGACAGTGAGGCCTTGACTCGGAAATACTCGTCGTCGCTGTTGCGCAGATATGTGATTCTGACGTACACTGCTGCGACAATCGCGACGACAAAAGTGAGGATTCCGGCGACATTAGCCGCAATGGACAGAGGGCTGTCCTGCTGCGACATTTGGTCCATTGGAACGGCCCAGATGATGGCGCTTGCGGCTACGTTTAGGCGACACCAAGTTTGCGAGAGAATTATAAGAAGGCTCGCACGCAGTCAGTGTTTGACTTGTTCCCATGGGTCTGACAGCAAAGGTCGGAAGGGAGCTTAGGAAGGAGCTTCCATTTGAAGAGAACTTTCCGAGTGGAAGGCACCTACCCCTGGGCCCTGGAGCACCCGCCGCTAAGATTTTAGCGCCGTTCTTGGCTTCCCGTAGTGGGGCCGTAACTCACGTTGCTCCGGCCCCGCGTGGTCTCGAATTTGTCGACGACAGACTCACGATGTTGCGCTGTCCTATGAGTTTCCGGAATGATGAGAATTCTGCAATATTACTTCAGCATCGAGGTTTCTCTATGCCCTCGTTCGATTATGGTCTCTAGATTTGACGATGCCAGCCACTTCATAGACCCACGGATGGCTGGGCCGGACCTTGGGACTGGAGTTCCTCATGATTTGGTGTTGGTAGCACCGAACAACGGTGGAACGCAACTCCAAACTTTTATATCATATGAACCATTTAGAAAGTGGCTCATCTGCTTGACTTGCTGGCAGAGCGCAGATCCTGCAATGCTCTCAGGGTGTTGAACTTTGCTCACCGGGACAACGATCCTGTGAATTATCGGAGAAAGCCTACGCGGAAAGAGCCCTCTTTATAAAAATGAGTCGCTGCTTCCTCAGGATCAGTTGTGAAATACTAGAAATATTCTGACCGCCTTCAGACGACCTATTTCGGACGAAGACACACACTCGCTGCCTCACCCTCCCCTCCCTCTTACCTGTCTACTGGAAGTCTTTTCCTCCCATCCTACTTTTTTTCTTTTCTTCTTCCAACCCCAGATTCCTGAGAGCCACCACCACCGCCATCACCACCAACGAAGGTATTTCAAGTTCCCCCTATGAAACGCCTCTTTCTAACTATTTAAGTACCAACTCTCACAATGTCTTCACCCTACACCATCCCCTACAAGGCCACCGCCTCGACCTTTGTGCCCGGTGCCGCCGCCCACCCCCCAGCCCCCCAGGATTACGCCGGGGTGAATATGCAGACAATCCGGCAGCCGGCGGTCGCCGGACAGCCTCTTGCTGCTGACACTAGTCGCAGCAATGCTCCGATGGCCGTAGGTGGTGCCCCTCGGGATGCCATCCCGGCGAAGTTCTCGTCGGCAGTTGAGGCCGCTGCTGGTGGTGGCATTGCCATCGCCGCCCCGGGTGGCCTCCGGGGTGTTAGTGGCCCAGCTTCGGCTGGTGCTGCTAACAGCAGCGGCCAGAGTGGCCATTGTGAAGCTGTGCCTACCAGCACTGTGGGTCTCCTCTCTTTTATATCCTTCTTCCAGTACCCCAATCAGTAACTGGACGTGAGAAAGGAATCACAATGGTTCCTTCCTCACGTCCTCAGTTCATCTCATCTTGAGTTACTGATCCTGCTTGACTGATCTTGCGCGGCCTTGGAGCCCACCAATATCTATATAAATACCCTTTCTCACCCCTTTGATTCTGACTTCTTTCTTCCTCCAGACCAACACCACTCCCTTTGGCACTGACGGCTGTGAAGAAATGGAGCAGCAGCTCCAGACTACTCAGGTTGAGAATGCTCGGCTGAAGGCTGAGAATGCTCAATTCAAGGCAGACAGTGCAAGAGCCAAGGCTGAGAATGGGAAGTTGAGGGAGGCCATTGGCACCGCTGGTCTTGCCTTTGACGAGAACGAGAGGCTCCGGGCCGTGATTCTGCGACTTGAGAAGGTAGCATCTCACAAAGTCATCCAGAACGAGAACTTGTTCCAGCAGATGGCCGATATCCAAGGCCAGGCTCTGGCTTTGAACCAAGATCGAGATAGGCTTCGGATTAAGAACCGCCTTCTCCGAGCTGAGCTGAGCCATGCAATCAGGACACTCCTTGGTCTTCACAGCGAGAACATGGAGCTGAAGGACAAGGAAAAGGACGCCACGATGGGTGTCCAGATCCTCACCGACATGCTCGCTGCCGTATACAACAAGATCGTTGATGACGCCCCGGACATCATGCCTACTCTTTCGGAGCGTGTGCAGAAGACTATCGAACATGTCTACGAGAATTGGAAGGAGGAGCAGTTTCTGCAGGTCTTTCACCCTGGGCAGGCGATGCAGACAACCTCTCCCTATGACATCGTACCTCGGCACACCCCGGTCCCTTCTCGTGGCGGTATTGAGTTCATCCCTCTTGACGGCAACGAGGAAGATGAAGATACCCCGAACGGCGGATCTGGTACTTCTACAGTCGTGCCCCCTGCACCGCAGCCACAACAACCGGTGCAGCATCAGCTCCCTCCCCACATTCCCAATCACAACATTGCCAATCCGCACGCCACTGGCTTTATACCCGGTCAGACCAACATATTCAGGCTGATCATCGACTCCCCTGGTCAACCGTTGTATGAGAATAACATGCCGCATATCGACAGCCCTCACACGCCTACCACTGGTGGTCCTGCCCCTCCTAATGGCGGTACTATCAGCCTCTCCGACAACCTTTACGATCCTGATACCCCCACCCTTCGTGGCGCTTCTAACGCCGTCGATGGTCGCGAGGATCCCCGCGATGGTATTACTATGACCAATGATGAATCCGAAGGTCACGAGGATCTCCAGACTCCTCAGACTCCTCAGACTCCTCAGACTCCCACTCCTCTTCGGCACCATGGAGCAAATGTTCTTGGAACACCAGATGCTTGAGTGTAGGCAGTGAACTAAGTTTTTCGGACCTCTTTCGATCAGGTAAGTTCTTGACGCCAATGTCTCTGATGCTTGACTTCCTTTACTGACCGATTGTTTAGGCAAGAGCAACCACGATTCCCATAAGCGCAATGATCATGACTGCTCGCACTTGTGCATGCATTTTGCAGTAAGGCGTCATGACAAGTCAAAAGAGCTTTCCTAGCGCATTGGTCTTTGCAACAGTTCACTTTGGGCATCTTGGAGGTTCTGATTGCTTTGGAAAGCCTCTGGGCTTCATTAGAGTCTTGGTCCCGGTTGTTTTTGGCCTTATCGCAATCACGGCTCTTTGATCACGACTTGGCAACAACGATCAAGTTCGCATAACGACTCTTCTTTGGTGTGGTACGGCCTTCAACTTTCGCCATTAGACATTGATAATTCTCTCTCCATCGGTTACGGCATTCGACTTTCACCTTTCGGCATTAATAATTCTTCTTTCATCGGTCACGGCATTTCTTCTTCCCAACTTTCTTACACAAGACCTGCACTTAAACACACATGGCTAGCATGTGGGCAGTCGTGCGTTGGATTCTCAACGGGACGCATGGTCTTCTTTTCACCCCCGCCTTCAATAGACAGCCTAGTTTGTCTGCCATTGGCATCGAGGGTTTAGTTTCGGAACGGAGTAGTACTCAGGTCTCAGAATGGAATCACAAGGGAAAAGGATTTGGCGATTGCGGTTACTAGATGGACATGCGATGCTAGAGAATAGCAAGCAGGCTTAGCACACAGCAATCAGACGCCCATATCTCGTCAATGAAGTCGCTGGTCTTGAGTGAATGTGTGACATGTGGTGGTCGTTGTCATGAGGCTGAGCTCTGAGCGGTGAATCTCTTGATGATAATGTTGCTATAAAATCCGGCTTCTCCTTCCTAAAGGCTGGAGTAGCCCGCCAAAACCAACCTCCAAGAGCGTCACATACTGATTGCTAGAATTAACTCTATTGACTGCATCTCAGATGGAGGAACAACTGCAGCACCCAAAAGTCACAGAGCGCGAAGGAAGCCCCTCATGGAGCCAACTCAGAACGGTCAGGCGAGCCCGCGACTCACCCCATGACGTCCCTTGCGGCGAAGAATGCCTAGTATACCCAAAAGGTAAGACCAACCACACGCCGACCGGAATCATGGGTAAGATCACCAGATATCTAGAACTAGACTTCGAGAGCCGACCCTCAAAGGACGACGTCTGGATGGAGAGGAAGGGGAGGAAGAGGCGTCGTGGCGGGAGACATCGGCGCTGCCCGCGGCCGAACCAGTTTCATCCTGGAGAGGGTGAGGGCTTGGAGGATATGGAGGAGACTATGGAGGGAGAGTTGGTTGAGCCTGTTGAGCCTGGTGCGCGTGGGGCAGGTGGTGGTGGTGAGGTTGGGAGAGTGTATCCTCCTGCTGCTGTGTGCGGTGAGGAGGTGAGACCTGCTGATCAGGTGGCTGCTGTTTGGGGAGGCTTCGATAATCCGGCTGCTGGGCCTGCTATTGAGGAGGCCACTCCTGTGCTTCTGTGTCCTGGACAGGCGAGGGCGGGGGAAGTGAGGCTACCTGGCGCCGTTGAGGTTCCTCGAGGTGAAGGCGCGGATCCACCCCGGAGATGGGGAGCAGGTTCTGGTCGAATTGCAACTAGTAGACAGTGGCGGTGGTGACATATATATCAATTAAAGAGAGTTGATATAGTAACATCATGGTTTGGGCATAAAGAGGAACTCGTCTTCTTGGGGACCTTTCATGAGCCCGTGGTTCTTGGAATTCCTCAGGTAGGCGAGGAAGAGTAAAAGACACCACGGTGAGATCAGCGCATGGTCTAGATTGAGCAATAGAAGAAACAACAGCAAGTCTTGAGTGCCCTGGGGCTGTGACTGGAAGGATAGTGAAATATTCTGGCGGACTTTTGGCCAGGAGGATAAGATGAGCAGATTGACATATGATCTGAGGAGCGAATTGACTGACAAATGTATATTTCGAGCACGACGCAGCTGATAGCGCGACCACTAGGGCATATTAGCCTTCCTATAGGTATAGTATGCTTCCCATGAACTTCTAGTGTAATTGTCTGTCTGCCTCAAAGCGCTTTCGTTGGTCGCTCGCATATCAACCCTGTACCCAAGGCAGGGAAGTCTTGTGAAGCTGTTAACAACCTTCAATCAGCCCTTCAAGCACCTAACGTCCGGCATTTTCGATACCTGAATTCTAGTTGCAAACATTCCTATCAAAATGGGACTGCATTGCAAAGTCGGTCTTTCAAAACCGTTAAGGTAGAATACCAGCAGCGCGACACTCAAAGCGGATCACCCACTATCATTGACTCAATGCAGTTGCGACGCTGACGCTTACCCAGCACCTGCCCTGAATTCGACATTCTCAGATGTTGTAAATGATGGGAATTTGTAACACGGAAGTTTTTTTTCACGTCCCAGGCACCAGCGGCGAGTCTGCCCTCAAGTCAGCCCGCAAGGCGGCCATCGTCAGCCGCCAAACTGGGACCGCTCCGGGAAAGAAACACCAAAAATCCACCACAAAACAAGTTCCGTTCCGCATCCGCACAACGTTGCACAACCTCACTTGACTTAACTCAACGTCACCTCATCTGGATCGAAAAGAACAGAAGCAGCATACCATCAAAGAACCTTTCGGACACAATCCTCGGCAGAGACATCATTGCAAACAAGAGTCACCAAAGAACACCGTCATCGCCATGGCATCCAACCCCGAGACCACTCAACCTCCACCACAACCTCCGGCTCAACCACGCCCACCGCCACCACCAGTCTTCAACCTCACCTACCCACCCTCCCTAGAACCCTACAACGTCCCCGCGACAACCTGGCTCACCACAAACTCCAAATCATGGGACGGCCTCGCAACAGGCGCCCTCGTTTTCTCACCCTCGACCAACAAAATCCTCCTCCTCCAGCGCGCCGCCCACGACAGCATGCCCCTACGCTGGGAGACGCCCGGAGGCGCAGCGGACCCGGAAGATGCAAGCCTGTTTGCCGCGTGCGCGCGCGAGCTGTGGGAGGAGGCTGGGCTCGAGGCCGAGGGGATCATGAGGGTCGTGAGCGAGGGGGAGGGGAGGGAGCCGGGGAGCGTGTTTACGAATCGGACTGGGACGAGGGTGTTTTGTCGGTTTGCCTTTGAGGTTACGGTGAAGGGTGATGGGGATGGGTGGAAGGGGGTGGAGGAGAGGGTGAGGATCGACCCGGAGGAGCATTGTGATTTTGTGTGGGCTTCTGAGGAGGAGGTGAGGAGGGAGAGGGTTGGGGAGAGGGAGATTCCGATTACGAATGGGCAGATGGCGAGGCTGATTCTCGATGGGTTTCGGAGGAGGAGAGAAGAGGAGGTCTAGGGGGGAGAGGGAGGGTTGATAGATGGTGATGAGGAGATGCTGAGGTTAGAAGGGTTGGTTGTCCTTTATGTCACGAGGACGAGGGATATAGAGACGAACGAGGCTTTCGCACCAGGGTATGGAAGAATCGACACGACTACGATGTTAGTATTGCCCCGTAGGGAGGACAAGATATGTTGGTTGCGTGAGACGAAGAAGACGTGGATAACAATTATTTAAGCTAGGAGTGATACTCGAGTAGTAATGCCGCCTGTTTACTCAAATACATCCATGCAATACAATGTATCATCCCTCTCTTCGTATGGGACTCCTCGCTCTCGTTGATCGTTGCTAATCGTTCAGTTTATACGTTTCATATCCGTCACGTACTCCCGCAATACCAAGGAGCCTAACCACCATGACGAAATACCAAAGTCGAACCCATCCATACATCATCCTTCATGCTTACAACACCATGACTCTCAGTTCAGCGTCCTGCCGAGTAGCCCTTCCCTGGCGGAGCCCGAGGCCCTTTACGATAGATAGGCTGCCGACGGCAATTGTCGCCATGAGAAACAATAACCTGGTGCTTTAAGACCCCGACGAGTGTCAGCTACTGGTCAAGAAATTATATATCCCCTACAGTGATATGAGAAAGAGATTTCTCTTAAGAAGCGCAGCGTACTGGAAGTTTCCTTCTTCGGCGTTGAGCCATTCCATCAGGCTGAGTAGAGATAGCTTCGCCATGGCTGCCAGTCCGCGCATCTGGCGCAATTCAGCCTAGCAAGGGGACAAATGGCTACTGGGTGTAAGAGGGCTTTACTAGATAGACTATGAACAGCCCGAAAGTGATTGAAGAGGCAGCTGGTATTCTCGATCTCTTGATAAACCGAGTCGGCTGACACACGAGGATATGATAGTGAAAGGTGGGGTTTCAGAGGTCATCGCGGCTTTCTTGATGTCAAACCTGGGTACATGAGCGTCAGCTGACGCCTCAACGACACCCTTTTGTCTACGAAATGTCGCAACGTGGCGGCTGAATCCTTCTTAGGTCTTGCGAGCAATCGGAGCGTTCTGAGATAGTGGCCAGGCCAATCAGCGCAAACCGCTCCAATACGATTGTTTGAGGGACTCAGCGAGTAAATACGTGAGAGATCGAAAAAAAAGAAGAAAAAAAAAAAACCTGCTGTCCACTTCAGGTATTAGTGAGCTACTTTCGCCATCTTGTCAATTTAACTCTGGTCCTACCGCAATACCCTTAACTTTTGGTCTATTGAGAGAAGCCCGCGATGCTTCCGAACCTAGGCATGATCGTCGCTCCATGGTGTTTCTATAAAGTGCTGATTGATCTTCGGGCGAGAGTTGCCGGTGCCAGGGCGGAGCCGAAGCGAGACAGTGTTTCCTGCGTGCATTGGGCCGAGGGAGCACTACTGCGGCCCGACGCCGGCGGTAGATTGAGGCGCAGAATTCGCAACATCGGTGATTCAAGCACCAAAGTGCATGCATCTGCAAGCCTGCACGTTCGAGAGGAAAGATTTGACAAACTTGGCAGACGCCCTGCTCGACTCAGGGGTAGTTCGTGGGCTGGGTGCACTCCAGGGTCCAAGCGAGCAAGGTAAAGCAAAGCAAAGGCTTTGGGGCTTTGAGGCCTCTGCCGATCTAATGCATCTTGTTTGAACGTGGAGCAACAACAATTTGAGGGCAATTTGAATCACCTAGCAGGGCGTTCCACCAGAGGTGATGACTTGTCAATATCATGCCGAACGCGATAGCGGCTTGGTTGCTCGTCTCTATCCAAGGTGCTTAGGACCGTAGCCTGGTAGTAGCGTACCGCGTCAAACGAGCTTCCGACATGACATGATGGATTTCAGAAGCCTCAAAGTGCGAACACCAAGCGGGCTCACCGGTCATGCCGGAGCTCCGGGGGCACGGGTCTAGACCTCTGCAGACAGCCAACTAAGCGCCTGACACGGCCCGGACAGGGACCGTGGCGGATTTACTTCGTCATTTGCGGCTCTGGCTCGGCGGTGCAAAATTGTCGTGATAGCGTGAAGCGTAGCATACGCAGTCAGGGCAGCACGTAAGGTAGTGTCGTAGTGTTGAGGCCAGCTCCATAGCTCCTGAGCTTCAGAGGTGGAAATGGCGCTACTGCGATGATCGGTAATGCCCGACGCATACCATAATCAGGGCTGCCCAAGCCGTTGTCCTCCCCCACCGTGTAGTAGCGTAGGGGAAAATTAGTGTACGTAGTTAGTCAGGTTCCTAGTGCAAGGTCCCAATGATTGAGGCGAAATCATTGCCAAGGAGGGATCTCGAAGAGATGGAATCTATCGCTGGCAGAGGTTGGATCCATGGCGTAGATCTGACAGAAACGGGCAACGGATGACACGAATGAGGCGAGCGCCGTGGAAGTGGCCTTTGGCGTTGCCGTTTTGGGGAAGCCGGCGAGGAAACAGAACTAAGTCTCGAACTTCGAGCAATGAGGGGTCGTCGGGCGGTGAGTCCCAACATCCCCAGTCGGAGGCAGAACCGGAGAGAAAAGATGATCTGTGGAGTAGAGATAGTCTGGACTATTCGTATGTACTGAGTATCCGTAGACTGTGACTGTATCTGTACCAGCAATGTGGATGTGGTGGGATGGTTGGTGAGGCTGCTCATTGGGCTCCGCTGAAGTTGATTATTGGCGTGCCGGGGTTTGAAAAGCCATGATCGGCGTGCTTACATCCAAGACACCCCGCGAAGGAGGAGGAGGAGGAGGAGGAAGTATCCGTAGAGCGAACTACTGAAGAACGACGTGGGGTCTGCAAAACTTTGATGGCTCATGATGCAAAAAAACCAAAAAAAAAACCAGGGACTTTGTGGATCTATGAGGCACAGTAGTGAGTTTCTACGATATCTTGATGTTGACCTCAGTTCCGTCCAGGGACTGGACTCCATCGCAAGACCTATCCCATGTTCCCGTCCTTTTAATGAGGCTTGACAGGTTTGACAGGCGACTTGGTACCTAAGCTGTGGCGAGTTGCTTCGTGGAGGCATCCATTCTACTAGTTCGCCTTGTGCTGGGTGACACTGATGGGAGGTGAGGCTATGGATGATGGGATTCGCTGTTGTCGTCGTGAAGATTTGCGGTGAGCTAGCTCGGGTAGTTCGTTAGTCCCACGATTTGGATACGACTCTGCGTGTGCCTTGATTGATAGCTGGTGACCCATGGCAATAATGCCAGCTGGATTTGTTTGTTGTTTTTTTTGTCGATTCAGATTGTACTCTGTACGGACTGTAACCGTAAGGTCCTCCGTCCCCAGCAGTCTTTTACGCCCGTCAGATGGCAATATGGGACGACTCGAGCTTGACCGCCGCAATTGGACGTGGGTTGACATTGACAATGCATCGTTGCCAATTGAGGAGAAGTCAGAAATCTAATGGTGCGTTATCATCACGGATACAATGAATGGCAGATGACAGCAGCAGCGTCACATTGCGGCGAGCTTTCCGCGGAGTCCAATGCAGCAGGCGTCACGGATGCGGAAGTGCCAAAGTGCTTGTGGCTGCTCGGCAGGAGTGTCGAATGTGCCTACCTCACCTGCCCATATTGCGAAGGTACTGAAGTACCTGGGACTGCAGTGAGGTGCACCTGAAAGTGGCAGTGACGATGCGGAAATGTGTTGCCGTGCCTCTTGTCTGCCGTGCCTGCTTTACGATAGTACCTAGGTACGGATACTGCTGCTTCTTTCCTGTTGAAACTTGAAGATGTGGCTTCCTGCTTCCTGCTTCCTGCTTCCTGCTTCTTTCTTGATGCAATCAATTGCGGCTGGCCGGCACTCTCGCGGGGCAGGAGCAAGATGCTGTACAACTGCCCGCAGCACTGGTGCATACCGGTAGGTACCCACGTACCTTCCTCAAAGGTGCAGGAGGTTACGAATCCGCGACTCACGCGGCCCCACTTCCCAGCTGCTGATGACCTCAGCGGCGTCGATCGTCGATCTTGAATCCATGGTATTGGCTGCAGCCAGCTGGACTGTGGATGCCGACTTCCCCACACCTTCCCAGTCGACTTTTCCAATCCCCATGTGCTTCTTTCCCTTTTCGCTCATGATTCCTCGGTCATCAGTCATCAGTCAGCATTTTGTTCCTCTACCATGTTTCCCCTCCTCCCATCGTCGTTCTAGGTATTGCGTGTCGTTGGTTCCATCTAGTCCCGAAAGGCATCTGTCAGCTAACAATTTTCATTTCTTTCTTTCACCGGCTTCGGAAGACGACCGACCGATAATGTGGATCTTCCGGCCCTGCCGAGCCCTCTGAAGTCCGTTCTCGAGAAGACGAGGGATAGACTCTAATCTCTACTACTTCACGTGGGGAGCTGAGAAAACGAACTCGAACCATGCGATGACTTCGAGTCTATTCCAAGAAGCCTCGCTCGGATCCGCGTCTGGATTCTGCTTCGGTTCACAGGTGAACCCTCAGACCCCTTGCCCGAACTCTGCTCAGCTTTCTCCATGAATGCAGTGACGCACTTTGCGTCGGCTTGTTCTTGATTTCCTCCCCGGCTTGCACAGCACGACGGCACGACTGGACGCCGCCCAGCTAAGCTCAACCTAGGCGGAGGCCCTGGAGGGGAACACAGCTCACAATTTGATCTATCCGACTCTTGCTAGCTCGACCTCGACCTCGCAGACTCGTCCTCTCACACGATTACACATGCACTTACAAGACACAAGACACCACATGCTATGCTACTTGCGGTACTCCCAACCCACTCACAACCAACTGCATGCCGCATAACCGCGCTACTGTTTCTTGTCGACCTCCAAATCTCGCGCTAGAGCCTTGTTTCGTCCATGGATGGCCAACCTGCCGCAGGCCTGCTCGCACTCACTCGCCCACCACCTCTCTAGGAAGGCTCTTGAAGCTGCTGGGTGCCTTGATCTGATGGCCTCGCCAGACCAACCCGGACACGAGACCTGCCTTACACGCGCATCTTTGGTTGACTCGCACTCTGGTGCAGTGATGCGTCTGCGGTCTGCTAGGTCATAGCCAACCCCTCCCTTGCGAATTGGCAAAGGCCTGTCAACCAAGTTGCGCGCCAAATACCTGTCTTGGGCGTCCCCGGGATACTGTGGCTCTCGAGACTCTGGCCCTTGACTGGCTGCCATGTCAGACAGCTGCACCCGGCAAAAAAAGGTGCCGTCATCATCCCCATCTCCCTTTTAGGGTCGTCTATCAGGCACCGGCCCGCCCTGGCGCGCTGACAAGCTTACTGTCCCTATCTCCGCCTCCCCACACTGCCGGGTGCGAATCTTCCGCTGCCTCTCAACCCGGAACTACGCAAGTGTTTCTTGGCATTTTTGTTCAACGGCCGCCGTGGTGGCTGCTGTAGGGGATTCATGGTTTCCGAGCGAGCCAGCAACTCTTGATAGTACATACGTAGGGGGTCGAAAGTGTTCCAAGAGTACACAGAATATAGACTACAGCATGGTAATTCGAGCTCAACAAGGAGCTCCATCGAAGCCTCGTCGTTGGGTCCCAATCGACGCAGAGGATCGCACTTGAGCCCGCCAGGATATCCTCGATACCCTTCTTCAACAGTCATCGTCAGCCCTGCAAATTTCACCGCCCGCAACTCGCTGGCCAGTTCGTGGCAGATTGTTGCCCTGGGGTCTCCCATGTCGAGAAGCCAAAAGGCCCTCCCTCCGCCATAAGTGCACCTCTTTTCCGATTAGGCCTGCTTTGGAACAGCTTTCTTCCAAGGA